TATACATTTATGGAAATGGTTAATTTAAGATAAAAGAACAGTTAACAAGAAACCTGCCATGGCCATACAGTTTGTAAACAATATAAGTCTCTGTGTTTACTTGGTTGGGTCTGAGCGGCTGTGGGACTGGCTGGTGACAGAGATTTGTCCTGACTGTGGGCAAGGCAGGAAAACTCTAGCAACAGACCTCACCCAAATTCTCTAGAATAATTATCCCAGACTCTCCCCTTCCTATACTATTACCATCCACTGGGGAGATTTCACATGCACTTTATGGCCTGCTGACCTTATTCTATCAGTCAGAGAACACACTAGATTCTAGGTCTTTTAGCTATAGAACCCATCTTTGTGGTCACATGCACTTTATAAAGGGGTTTTTATGTAGTCATACCTTAAGCTTTATTGTAATCTGAAAGTGGACTAATTGTTGCCTGGAAACTTTTCCCCAAATTATAGTGCGTTTTAAATATGCTGACAGTGAACTGCTTGATATCAGGACTCCCCAAAGTGGTTGATGAAGTCAATCTGTACCGGGTTTTCAGTCTTATGTCTTTGTGCAGTTTCCTTCCCTGTATGATACCTGCAGGGCCCCTTTCATTCATTCAAATCAGGGCATCATATATGCCCAAATTAGAAATTGTTCAACACTTAATATATACAACTATCAGACTATTTGGTCAAATAATGTTGTTTTTAAATTTGGAAATATGCATCTGTTTAAACTGAATAGCTTCGAACTTCTCAAACTAGTACTCCTGTTTACATATACCTCTGACACTGGCTATCTTTTGGAAAATAATGGACAAAACTCCGAGAAGTTGGTATATTTAAGTACCTGATACCACGGCCAATGCTCTAGTCTATCCTGAGACCAGCATGTCAAGTTATGAAACATTGTGCCAATTTTTGAAGCAAGAAAATTAGAGTTTCTAAGAGATGAAATCGCATAATCAAGTTCCTATAAACTTTTGCTTAACTGCCTTGGGATTTGGCCCTGGGTTTGCAGTGCTCTACATGTGCCCCTTTTTTCATTACAAATCAAGCTGTCTCTAAATTAGTTATTAAACCGTTTACTTCTGAGCCTAGCCCACTTTGAGGAGAAAGCCCTGACTTTCCATTTTTTCCCTTTGGATGAATATTCTCATCTCTTTACTGCAAACTTCATCTTTTATTGACAATAGTAAGTCCAAACCCTTTGATTTAGGACACTGTAACTACATATTATTCCCAGGTTCCACTCAGTTGGGTAGGGTGTGGATCAAGTGTTCCAGTTTTCCACATTAATCATAGTATTCTGGCATGGTCCTCCTGCCTACACCGACTGGATGAGTTCTTTTTGGCAAGATCTCATTGTAACTTTTTTTCCTTGATGGCCCATGGTTTTGAACACATTTGACATGTTTTCTCTAATGTCATGAGAAATTCCTCATAATCTACACGGGCTTGTTATATATAAAACTATTTCTTTCATGGAGTCATTTTCTTCTGCACAATTACAATTTTCCATCTATTTAAGAACTTGAAACTGAAGCTCAAAGTCAAGTTTAGATCACTAGGATGATTGGTTAATTATCACAATAATCAGAAACACATTCTCCTTTCAACAGAAAGCACTGCCTACATTTGAATTCACCATGTCCAATACTTTCTTTGTTCACCTGTCGTTTTTGGGAAAACAGCAAATTGGAACAATCTTGGAACATATACATACCCGGAAGCTGCCCTGTGGGTCCTGACAATAGTCTCTGTCTTCCCGAAGCTAAATGTTGACATGCAGTGCTTTTGCTGGCATCTTTCTCCTACAGGTTCCTTTCACCCGTTTGCCCATCCTTTTCTAACTAAACTTCGCCCTACCCTCCTTTTCTTTGTTCTTCCCTGTGCTTTATGACATCACACAGAGCTGTGTTCTGCCGCTCTGCTTACTGTTCACACACTCTTGGAGACTCTCTTCTCACTCTTGTCTCCTTAAAGACAAATTCTAAATGACGTTTTCATGGCACATCCCCCTTCACTCTGATAGAATCTTCAAACTGAACCAATCTGCTGTGGGTTCCTCATTCTTTCTCAATACCTGCTCCCCAGCAAAATGGCCACTATTCTAGCTTCATAATTCCCACAATAATCTCTGTCCTGCCCAACTTGGATGAACCTTTCCTCTTCTGAGATACATCCACCCATTATATCTTTTCAATCATGTTTCCAAAATCTTTAGCAGCTATCATCACCTCTTCAATTTATAAGAATTGAAATCATCACAGGATCAGGCCTTTACTGAGCTTTTTCCTCCTCCCATACACAACCTATAATACTCACAGGGTAATATTTAGATCTTTAAACCAAATATAGTCTCTATTTAAAACCTTTCTCGTTTTTTCCCATATATGCCCAAGCTCCAAACCAAAGATTAATATGTTAATGTATCAGGGAATTTAACACTATGCTACTTCTTGAAGGAATATGAGGTTCACAGAAAATGGAAATAGCAATTGTCAATACAAATATCATAAGAGTCTTCAAAGTGTAAATACGTAGTGTGTTTGGTTAAGAATAAAAATTTCAGTACTATTGATTTTTTTTTCATTGCTGTAGGTGACTAATGAGCTAGAATTTGAATTGTCAAAAGATCAAGAATGGTCTTAAGTCATAAGTACAGGATCACTCTATATATTATTTTTAGGACATACTATATTTTGTAGGCATCACTGTTTAATAGAAATAGTAATGTTTATGGAATGTCTACTTTCTAATTTTTATTCTCTAAATACTTCCAGAAGGCTCTTACTGGCAGAATGGTAAAGACAAAATGGTGAGGTTAGTCCAACTTTACCAATGGAAACAAGGGGGTGAATTATTTGTAAAGAATATGAAAATATTATGAAATATAATATTATTATCCTCGCAAGTCAATGATGCTAAAAGAATCAATGATAAAATATTTTCTTTGAAAAAATAGCATTTATTGATTCCAATCCTCTACTAGTTGCTATGAATTTTAAATTACTTCATTTTTGCAACTGTATGTGGTCAATTAAAAGTTTTGTTTCTTTTAAAACATAATGCAACCAAACTAGCAGTGAGAAAAATGTACTATAGTGCCAGGCAAATGAAAACTTCAGTTTGTCCATTTAATGCTCAATTTGATTGATATAATTAGAATATTTTATTCTGTTCAGACAATTGTAAATGTATATTACTCTTATCAAAATTAATGTAATTAAAATTATGAATCCATTACTTTATCATATTTTCCCCATCAGTTTTCTGATATAAGTATATATGCCCAATTCAACCAAAATTGTCAATGTTTTTCCCCTGTTTCTCACTGTTCATTTTCTTTCATGATTATGAATTAAAACAATTTTGTAAAATGATTCTCTTTCTGGGTATTTAGTACATGACATGTAGTAGTAAGAAACTAAAGATGTATGAATATTACTTCCAATTTTATAGACACAAAAACCTAACAGGAAGCTATCTAGTGGCAGAGGAAATTTTTCAGGTAAAAACAAATGGTTCAAGTAGAGATGTGAGGCAGGCAGGAGCCAGAAAGTCCAGTGATAAGAGTTTCCCACCCAATTCTAACCGTAAAACATGGAAGATACCCTTCCCTTGAGTAGACTCACCGGCTTCTGCCTGGGTCAATTGCTCAAGAGCTGTTTTATTTACAGACCCCACAAAAGTTTATGAAAAGAAGGTTTCAGTTTGCTGCTATCTCCAGGATATAGCTGATGAAATATCTCATCAGTGAGAGGAAAATACTTGCAATGACCACAAAGTCAACATTCCAAACATGAAATATTATAATTTTACAGTCACAGGCTGGCTTTGTAGCTGTATTCCCTTCCTTTCTTTGATATAAACTTAATGAGGCAAATTTCAAAGCATAACTACCATCTACAGAAAAATACTAGTAGTTACTGAGATGACCTATGCTACAGCATTAAAGAACAAGGTTACACATTGAGTAAACCACAATATATTTTGCCAGGATTATTACTGGCATTACATGAAATAGCCATTTAAGATGTTCTCTTGTAATAACGTTATCACCTGGCATTATGAGACCTTTCTGCTACATTTATTACTATAATATCCAAATAGCAGCTTCTCACTGAGTTTCAACAACATCCAGGATCCCATCCCTGCAACTAGATCAGACACAAGGCAAGCAAGACATCCTATTCAACTGTTTAAGATTCAGATCACCTGGTCAGTTTTAAAATCTTGCTTCTTTCTGAAGCTGTGTTTGTTTGATTTATCTATGAAATAATGCATTGGGATGCTTTCCCACCAGATTCTCCATTGTACATTTAAGGGCTAAAACCAAATGAATTAGATTACAGTTCACCCACACAGTTTAAATTTTGCTTGAAGCTTTAAATAAATGATGAATGGACCAAAAAAATTAGGATTGAAAGAATTCTCAAATTCGCATAAAATCTATCTAGATTATTGAAGCTTATGAATGGTTGGATCATTAACCAGGATCATTACCCCTTGATATGAATTTGTCCTTCCAGTCCATATTGAGAACAGAAAACAAAAAATATAAGAGCCTTTTGTACAGCTGAGTCTTGTGAGGTAAGAATTCATAATATTAGATCTTGTCCATTTCTCCGTGTCTTTTTTTGGGGTCCCGTTTTCCAGGTAGCCTCACTGGTGATGTGAGTAGCAGTCTAGTCATCCTTGTTCCACATCTAGCATCTTCCTATGAGTGAGTACATACCATATTTGTCTTTCTGAGTCTGGGTTACCTCACTCAGGATGATTTTTTCTAGATCCATCCATTTGCCTGCAAACTGTGTGATGTCGTTGTTTTTCTCTGCTGAGTAGTATTCCATTGTGTATATGTGCCACAATTTATTTATCCATTCTTCAGTTGAAGGGCATCTAGGTTGTTTCCAGGTTTTGGCTATTACAAACAATGCTGATATGAACATAGCTGAGCAAGTGCTCTTGTGGTATGATTGAGCATTTCTTGGGTATATGCCCAGGAGTGGTATAGCTGGATCTTGGGGGAGATTGATTCCCAATTTTCTAAGAAAGCGCCATATTGATTTCCAAAGTGGTTGTACAAGCTTGCATTCCCACCAGCAGTGGAGGAGAGTTCCCCTAGTTCCACATCCTCTCCAGCATAAAGTGTCTTCAGTGTTTTTGATCTTAGCCACTCTGACAGGCGTAACCTGGTCATGAGTGGGAACAATGAAGGGCGACAGTCGAGGGAAAGAGTGGGAGATCCTAGCTGGATCAAGAAAAGAGAGGGAGAACAAGGAATAGGAGACCATGGTAAATGAAGACCACATGAGAAGGTGAGAAGGGGAGGAAGCAGAGAGCTAGAGAGGCCCACGGAGATCCACAAAGATACCCCCTCAAAAGACTGCTGGCAATGGTCGCGAGACGGCAGGAACTGACCTACTCTGGTGATGGGATGGCCAGACACCCAAATAGTGGTGCCATAAACCCCATCCAAGGACTGAGGAATCTGAAGGCAGACATCCACGGCTGGGCCCCTGGTGGAGCACTGGGAGTCTAATTAGTGAGTAAGAAGAGGATTTATATGAGCGAGAATTGTTGAAGCCAAGGTTGGATAAAGCACCGGGACAAATAACCAAATGAATGGAAGCACAGGATCTATGAACCAAAGGCTGAGGGGCCCCCAACTGGATCAGGCCACCTGAACGGGTGAGACAGTCATTTGGCTTGATCTGTTTGGGAGGCAGCTGTGCATTGGTGCCAGGTCCTGGGCTCGTTGCATGAGTTGGCTGTTTGAATCCTGGGACTTATGCAGGGACACTTGGCTCGGTCTGGGAGGGGGGAATGGACCTGCCTGGACTGAGTCTACCAGGTCAACCCCGGTCCTCGGGGGAGACCTTGATCTGGAGGAGGTGGGAATGGGGGGTGGGCTGGGGGGAGGGGTGGGCGAGAGGGGGAGAACAGGGGATTCTGTGGCTATTATGTTGAACTGAATGGTGTTGTAAAATAATAATAATAATAATAATAATAAAACCAAAAAAAAAGAATTCATAATATTAATCAGACAAATTATTTGCTCTGCTCTAATTTTAAACAAGTGATGCAGTGTAATAATATTTCAAAAGTTTATATAGTTCCAAAAGTGAGAAACTTGAACAAAAGTTTTATGAGTTCAAGGCCAGGCTGAGCAAGCAAATTGAAGCAGCAAGAAGGCTTACACACTTTAGGTATGCAATAGTGAATACTTTAAACATATATACATCTGTTTATTGTGTGTATTTCATATATACATATGAAATATAATTTCACAGTCACAGTCTAGTTTTGTACCTGCATTCTCTTCCTTTCTTTGGTATAAATTTGCTGACACAAATTTCAGAGCATAAATATAATATACAGATTAATACTTGTAGTTACTGACCTGACCGATGCTACATCATTAAGGAACAAAGTTGCACATTATGTAAACCACAATATAAAATAGTGAATATTTGACAATATGAAAATATTTCATCAATATAAAGCATACCATAAACAATATATTGGACACACATTTCCGCCTTAGTTTCATGGTACTCTGACAAAGTGACTGGAGAGAAAAGGTTTATTTGGTCCAAGAATCTAGGTTACTGTCTGTCACTGCAGAAAATCAAAGTGGCAGAAACTGAAATTAGCCAGTCCAATTCCACTCACAGTTAAAAGCAGAAAACAGCAGTAATGTATGCATGATAGTCCTCTGCTCACTTTCTTAACACTTCTGCAGTTTTTCTTAGCAATGTTGCTTCCCACAGTGGCTGGGTCTTCACCTTCACCTCCAACTTTCTCAAAGTAATTCCCCACAGATAAGACCAGAGGCCAACTCAGTCTAGATAATCCCTAATTGGCA